GAGTGGCTACATTCCATCAAAATTTTACTTCCAAATATAGGCAGCGGGCTGGATCTGGCCTGTGAGCCACAGTTTGCTGGCCCCTGGCTTAGAGCACAGGCTGTGGAGTAAGCAGCCTAGATTCAAATACTGATGCCAGGACTGCGGCTGCATGACACCTGGTCATTTACTTAACCTTCTCCAATTGCTACTTGCCCCATTTCTAACTGTGGGGTAATATTGTAAGTCTACCTCTGGGGCTGCTGTCAGAATTAGCCCAGTGATGTATGTAAACCGCCTAGTACCCTCCAGTACAAACTTCCTAGAACTACTCTCATTTCTACTCTTACTGTCCTCTAGCATCACCTCTCTGCCAGTCCTGATGCTGGGTTATTTACATATTCCAACCCGTCTGTCTTTCTGGTAATCTTCCAAATTCCGTATCAGAGGAAGCCGAAAGTGTGTGGATCGTTCACCATTTCCTCCCTTTCCAAGTAGATGTTTTTGGCTAAAATTAGCAACAGTTTTCAATAAACCAGATGCGATCTCTCACCCAGGGTTCTGGAATTTGGTGCCGAGTACACACTTTCATCAGATGTCCCCAGTGCTGGGCTGGTCAGAGGTACAATCACTCCCTCTCTAAGTAAGTTGATTCTGCAACACATGCGCACTTTCAGCCTCAGGCATTCAGGTGTTCTCACACACTTGCCGTGGTATCAACCTTCTCTCTGTCCATCATTAAAAATAATACAAGTGACTGCTCAAGGAAATCAGAGAGGATGCAAACAAATGGAAAAACACTCCATGCTCATGGTTAGGAAGAATCAATATCATGAAGGTGGTCATACAACCCAAAGTAATTTAGATTCAGTAGTATTCCCATTAAATTACCATTGACATTCTTCACAGAACTAGAAAAAAAAGAACTTTAAAATCCATATGGAACCAAAAAAGAGCCCATATATCCAAGACAATCCTAAAAAAAGAACAAAGCTGGAGGCATCATGCCACCCAACTTCAAACCATACTACAAGGCTACAGTAACCAAAACAGCATAGTACTGGTACCAAAACAGACACATAGATCAATGGAACAGAGCAGAGCACTCAGAAATAAGACCACATGTCTACAACCATCTCATTTTTGACAAACCTGACAAAAACAAGCAATGGAGGAAGGATTCCCTATTTAATAAATGGTGTTGGGAGAACTGGCTAGTCATATGCAGAAAATTGAAACTAGACCCCTTCCTTGCACTTTATATAAAAATACCTCAAGATGGTTTGAAGGCTTAAATGTAAAACCAAAAACTATAAAATCCCTAGAAGAAAATCTAGGCAATACTATTCAGGACATAGGCAAGGGCAAATATTTCATGATGAAGATGCCAAAAGGAATTGCAACAAAAGCTAAAATTGACGAATTTGATCTAATTAAACTAAAGAGCCTCGACACAGCAAAAGAAACTATCATCACAGTGAGCAGACAACTCACAGAATGAAAGAAAATTGTTGCAATCTATCCATCTAACAAAGGTCTAATACCCAGAATCTACAAGGAATTTAAACAAACTTACTAGAAAAAAAAAACCAAACAAACTCATTAAAAAGTGGGCAAAGGACATGAACAGACACTTCTCAAAAGAAGAAATTTATGTGGCCAGCAAACATATGAAAAAAGCTCAACATCACGGATCATTAGAGAAATGCAAATCAAACCACAATGAGATACCATCTCACACCAGACAGAATAGGTGATTATTAAAAAGTCAAGAAACAACAGATGCTGGCAAGGCTGCAGAGAAATAGGAACACTTTTACACTGTTGGTGGGAATGTAAATTAGTTCAACCATTGTGGAAGACAGTGTGGAGATTCCTCAAAGACCTAGAACCAGAAATGCCATTTGACCCAGCAATTCCATTACTGGATATATACCCAAAGGAATATAAATCATTCTATCATAATGATACATGGACACGTATGTTCATTGCAGCACTATTCACAATAGCAAATACATGGGATCCATCTAAATGCCCATCAATGATAGACTGGATAAGAAAAACGTGGTACATATACACCATGGAATACTATACAGCCATAAAAAGAAATGAGATCATGTCCTTTGCAGGAACATGGATGGAGCTCGAAGCCATTATCTTCAGCAGACTAACGCAGGAATAGAAAACCAAACACTGCATGTTCTCACTTATGAGCGGGAGCTGAACGATGTGAATACATGGACATAGGGAGGGCAACAACACACAGTGGGGTAAGCATCTTCCTGTGTGCTTGTTAACCACTTGGGTATGTTCTTTGGAGAAATGTCTATTTGGATGTTTTTTCAAATAGCAAATAACTCTAAAAGAGAATGAGGATCTGTATCATAATGTAGTTGAAAGGTTATTTGGGAGGGTGGTTGCAGGGAGGTGGGAGAGCATCAGGAAAAATAGCTAATGTATGCTGGGGTTAATACCTAGATGATGGATTGATAGGTACAGCAAACCACCATCACACATGTTTACCTATGGAGCAAACCTGCACATCCTGCACATGTATCTCCGTATGTAAAATAAAATAAATTTTTTAAAATAAAATTAAAACAATATAAGTGACTTCTTACCTAGAGTAGGCTCTACAGTAAGTATGTTTTTGGAGTTTTTTTCTCCCTTATCTTCTTTACCGAGTTAAGGCCACACATCTTAGGCTTTGAGTCACATATACCTAAAATCTAAACAAAATTGAAAATATTCCCCAAAGTGGAAAAACTGCACTTGTACACACACACACGCACACATTTTTTTACCTAAAATTTCAGGGGCTTAAAGATTCTCTGAGGATCAGTCACAACCACTAAAGATCTGTCTATGAAAACAGATGAATCCCTATCCGGGGGAATTTCAACACTTTACTTGTTGAGGTATCAGAATCACGAGTTGTATCTATGCTCGCTAGAGTACCTGACAGGGAAGAAGTACATTCATAAAAGTGTGAATTAACTAAGGTGAATTCCTAGGCATCTTGAAATCCTTTTAGGACCTAGGGATGATGAATGAATGGCTTGTGGTAAAGCAGCACGTCAGCCATCCATTAGGATAGCTTTGCGTTCCCTTGGTGAGCACATCTATACGGATGGTTCTTCCGGTTACTTTCAGGGTAGTGAGTTTTGCTTTGGAAAATGTGATTGATGTGGCTGTGCCTCCATGCACACATCATTAGTCTGTGGCGGGTAAGCTCAGATGGTCAGAGCACTGTGCTAATGAGGCGAAGGTTAGGGGTTCAGTGCCCATGTGGGCTACTTAGCTTTTGTCTCATTCATGTCCCCAGACTACTCCCAACATAGGCCACCTGTCTTGAAGATGTGTATCTGTAGTCAGGGGGAGGAGCCATGTGCAAGCATTTGGCTGGATCACTACAAATCTATCATGACTCTGGGAAATCAACCGCTGCATGAGATCTCGGCAGTTGGTGAGGGAACTCACCTTCATTTAAAAGGGACAGGAAGCATAATTCTCAACGCACACATGGTCTCAATGCAGTGGATTTTGTGAATAACATGTTAAACTGTCACTTAATTTTACATCCCTAGAAAATAGGTAACCAAGTGACATGATGTTTGACAAAAGAGTGGTGAGGTGCCCCTGACTTCACGAAATGTGGATATTTACTTACATATAGAGGGGTGTGCAGTAGCACTCATGCTGCAGAAAATTCATTTCACAAAAACAACTACAGATGCTCTTGAATTATTTAATAGGCTAATCTTCAATTAAGTGTTATCAAAATAATAGTTGAATTCAACAAAACTTTTCATCTTCATATTTCTTGAATAGAACGAGGCACATGTTTGCATCCGAAACTTCCTCACTTACCCTCAGTTTGGGTAAAAGCACTATGATCTGACACCAGCCAGGGGTCAGGAAGTAACCCTTAGGTCCTCCCTGACCCTCAGGCTCTTTGTCTCCCAGAACTACAGGAAGCCAAGAGGTTTTGTTTTAACTCCTTCGTGGCTCTCGTGTCTATCCCTCCCTCATTCTTACTATCATGATTTCAGCTCAAACCCTGGTTACTTCCTTACTGGACCACTAGAGCACACAGCTAACTAATCTTTCGTCTTCCCTTATCACTGAGGATAATTTCTGAGGGCGAGCTTTACAATCCGACTACCTGTGTTCCAACCCAAAAGCTACCATTTACTCTCTATGTGACTTTTAGCCTGTGCCTTTGTTTTTGTTCACCTGTAAATTGGGGACAAAAATAACAACAGGCTCATGGGATTTTTGTGATGATGTAAATTGGTTAATTTTATAAAAGGTGCTTAGAAAATTGCCTGGAATATAATATGCACTTAATAAATGTTATCTGCTATTATTATTGCTAATTAATTAATCATTATCATCATTTCTATATCTACTACAGGGACTGACTCAAGGTGTACTGTTCTAAATCCCACCGTAAGGCTTCCTCATCAAGTTACCTACCTTCTAACTGAGTATCCTCATCAGCTGAAATGTTTACTCACATAGAGGTAATGACAGTGTCTGCATTAGAGGATTTGGTCAAGATTAAATTAGCTATTGCAATGGAGTGCTGAGGACAACAGCTGGCACGTTTAAAATGCTTGCTAAATGTATACAAGTGCACAAGTTCTGTTTTATTAGTATAAACCAACACCTATGTCACTCTCTTGTTTCCAGTTATGTGATGTAAGGTAAGACTATTCTTCTAGGGATCATTTCTTTTTTTTTATTTTGTTTTGAGATGGAGTCTTGCTCTGTCCCCCAGGCTGGAGTGCAGTGGTGCGATCTCGGCTCACTGCAACCTCCGCTCCCGGGTTCACGCCATTCTCCTGCCTCAGTTGGAACTACAGGTGCCCGCCACCACGACCCGGCTACTTTTTTTTTTTTTTTTTTTTAGTAGAGATGAGGTTTCACCGTGTTAGCCAGGATGGTCTCAATCTCCTGACCTCATGATCCGCCCGCCTCGGTCTCCCAAAGTGCTGGGATTACAGGTGTGAGCCACCGTGCCCGGCCAGGATCATTTCTGTAGTTCAGTACCAGAGACGTTTCTCTGAAAGTGTGGAGCACCAGAAACCACAAGAAGGAGGCACAGCAATCTCTCCTGAGCGTGGAGCCTGCTCTAAGTGTTGTTTTGTTGCAGCTGCTGTTTGCCATTGATGATAGTTCTCTTCTTTCAGGAGAGTAAGAAGGAGAGGATGCAGCCTGAGTGGTTTCCATTAGGACTTTGAAAAAAAAAATCATATAATAGTTCCTCATTGAATATAGACATTGTTCCCAACATGTTAGAAGCTAAGAAACCCTTTGTCACGTAACAAATTTCAAGTAGCTGTAAATGCTCTAAATACCTATGTGAGACTTCAGCAACATAGCAGACCCAGCTAATGTAGAGAAGTCCACCTCTTGATATAAATGTATAAATACGTTTAAAACAAGTAACACTGCACAAGCAAATTCAAAAGACAAAAAGAACCCTCCCAGTACTAGAATCTCAAAGCTCATGCAAAGCTAGAGCAGAGGCCACCACTGCTCACAAAACTATCTTCCCTGATAACAGACCCTAGGGCTTGGGGCTGTGACTTTAACCACACTGGAACAGGTGAGAAAACTTCTCACTTGAACTAGGTGGAGAGCTGGAATAACTTTTCTTTTTTTTCTTTTTCTTTTTTTTTTTTAGGCAGAGTTTCACTCTTGTTGCCCAGGCTGGCCCTTCCTTCCTTCCTTTCTTCCTTCCCTCCTCCCTTCCTTCCTTCCTTCCTTCCTTCCTTCCTTCCTTCCTTCCTTCCTTCCTTCCTTCCTTCCTTCCTTCCTTCCTTCCTTTCTTTTTGCCCTCCCTCCCTCCCTTCCTTTCTTCCTTTCTTTTTGATGGACTATGGCTCTTGTCACCAGGCTGGAGTGCCATGGCATGATCCTGGGTCACTGCAACTTCGGCCTCCCAGGTTCAAGTGCTTCTCCTGCCTCAGCCTCCCAAGTAGATGGGATTACAGGCATGCACCACCACGCCTGACTAATTCCTTGTATTTAGTAGAGACGGGGTTTCACCATGTTGGTCAGGCTGGTCTCAAACTCCTGACCTCAGGTGATCCCCCCACCTCGGCCTCCCAAAGTGCTGGGATTACAGGTGTGCGCCACGGCGTCTAGCCCTGGAATAGCTATTTTTATAAAGCCAAGACAGTCCAGGTCACACAAAGAGAAATTAACTCCACTCACCAACCTGGGGAAACAGCAATGTAACTTTCTCCCTGCTGACAGCTATAAAAGAGAAAAAGGTCTCCTGCAAGAAATCAGAACACCAATTTTGTGCCATGAGTGCATGGGAAGATCAAATTTATATTATTATCCAGGTGTATGGGAGCCTTAAGTGGGATTTTATCTGTAATATGAAATTCCAATAAATCTAAAAAAAGAAAAGGAAAGCTGCTTTGTACAGACAACTATGCAACTGGGGTGGTGGCATATGACTCCTCCCACACAAAATAACCCACCAGATACAAATCATAACCACAGAACAAGAAATATGCAAAAAAGCTGGCACTTTTAATAACAAATTTTAAAACCATCTAGAAACTAAAATTATGGTCATTAATATGTTTAAAAACATTGGTTAGGTTAAGCAGCAGATTAGATAAGGCTGACAAAAGACTCAATAAACTGGAACACAATTCTGAGAAAAATCCCTCAAAATGCAGCACAAATAAATACAAAATGTAAAGTGTCAAAAGAGTTAAGCAACAGAAATAATGTCTCATATTCATCTAATAAATCCACCAAGTAAAAGAATATTTGAAGAAAAAATTATTGATAATTTTGCAGAACTGAAAAAAATCAGATTAGAGAAGTGCCCCAATTCCCAAACAAGTAAAAATAAATCTATACCTAGACACGTCGAAATGAAATTAGAAAAAATAAAAACAAAGGAAATATCTTGAAGAGAATTAGAAAAAAATAGAAATTACTCACAAAGGAAGCACATGGTGCTGACTACAGGTATCTCTTCATCTATCAGAAAGGCTAGAAAAAAGTAGAAGAACTTGTTAACCTACAGGCAGTTAAACTGTTATTTACAAGTAAAAGTAAAATAAAGATTTAGAGAGTATAGCATTCATAGACTGTGATTCAAGAAACACTAAAAAAAGATATTGAACAGAAACTGAATAGGCTGGACACAATGGTTCATGACTGTAATCCGAGCACTTTGAGAGGCCAAGGTGAGTGGATCACCTGGGGTCACGAGTTCTAGACCAGCATGGCCAACATGGTGAAATCCCATCTCTACTAAAAATACAAAAAAATTAGCTGGGCATGGTGGCACACACCTGTAATCCCAGCTACTCAGGAAGCTGAGGCAGGAGAATCGCTTGGGCCTGGGAGGCAAAGGTTGCAATGACCCGGGATCATGCCACTGCACTCCAGCCTGGGTGACAAGAGCAAAACTCCAAAGAAAGAAAGGAAGGAAGAAAGAAAGAAAGAAAGGAAAGAAAAGAAAAAGAAAAGAAGGAAGGAAAGAAGGAAAGAAGGAAGGAAGGAAGGAAGGAAGGAAGGAGGGAAGGAAGGAAGGAAGGAAGGAAGGAAGGAAGGAAGGAAGGAAGGAAGGAAGGAAGGAAGGAAGGAAGGGAAAGTGAATTGCAAGAGACTGATGATTTTGAAAATTTATAAACATAAATGAATCTAAACTGACTTATTAAGAAAAATTAAGTGACATGTATCTGTAGTCCCAGCTACTCGGGAGGCTGAGGCAGGAGAATCGCTTGAACCGAGGAGGCGAAGGTTGCAGTGAGCCGAGATGGTGCCACTGCACTCCGGCCTGGAGACAGAGCAAGACTCTGTCAAAAAAAAAAAGAAAAGAAAAGAAAGAAAAAGAAAAATTAAAGGTATATCTAAACTTGGAAAGCTTAAAAACAAGGACTCAAAATCCTATTCAACAATAGCATAGAAAAAAAAGAGGGGACAATAAGAACTAAAGGATTTAGTTCCTCTTGGAGAGAGCAGAAATGTTGATAAGCTTAGACTCTTCACATCGAAAGTGCTTGTTAAAGTGTAAGGGTATTGGCTGGGCGTGGTGGCTCACACCTGTAATCCCAGCACTTTGGGAGACCTAGGCAGGTGGATCACCTAAGGTCAGGAGTTCAAGACCAGTCTGGCCAACATGGCAAAACCCTATCTCTACTAAAAGGACAAAAAAATAATTAGCTGGGCGTGGGCACCTGTAATCCCAGCTACTCAGGAGCCTGAGACAGGAGAATCACTTGAACCTAGGAGGCAGAGGTTGCAGTGAGCCGAGATTGAGCCACTGCATCCAGCCTAGACAACCGAGTGAGACTCCATCTCAATACTACTACTACTACTAATAATAATAATAATATAAAGGTATTGCAGAACCAGGATTTGGGGGACCTGAATCTTATATAATCTGGGGAACTTACATTATTTTCTCTTAAGAAAAGAATAAAAAACTATTTTAAATTTTTCAAATTTTACAAAAACATCTGAGCCACATTGCTATGTCTTAGAGGAGGACCATGTATGTAAGGGGCCAGAAGGCTATATACTTCCTTAGCTAAATCTAGCTGTAGTGCAACTTTTAGAAAAACCAAAATAAAATGCTTAAACCATGTTCCAATCCAAGAAGGAGGTGAGAGGATAAAAATAAAGAAATGCTATCAAACTAATAAAATTTTTTTTAAAAAAAGAAAAAGTAAACAAAGTCACTGAAAATTGAAAACATAAAATAACATAGTATAAAATGTCCAAATAAACCAGTAATTATAATAAAAAATTAATGAGCTAAATGTTCAACTTAATAAGTTAGAAAAATTATAAAAGAAGTCCAAAGAAATAGAAGGAAAAAATAAAAAGATAACAGATATTAATGAACTAGAAAATACAGAAATAATAATGAGGATGAAGAAAACTGAGATTAGTAACTATTCTTTCTAAGTAAATTCCTGACATTTAAGGAGAATTGGATAATTTTCACAAACAAGGCCTCTCACTTCCTGGGTTGCCAAAACATTAAGAAGAGTTTGTTAAGTTTGAAATTCTTCTAATTTTTTCTTCCCTCATGGATCTCATATCTTACAACTCTTGTCACACAGGCAAATTTGCAAATTTCAGTCAACCAACCATAAAAATCGTTTCTACTTGTTTCCATTGAGTGATACTTTCAGGCCTCACATCAATCCAAAATCCTGAGGTCTGGGTTACCTTTTATCTTTTTGATGAGCCCTGGGTAGAAGAAGCAGGTACTTTTTAGACTGGGCAATAAGAAACTGGAAGTCACAGCTGTGTAGGGGGCATTGTATTTTTATTGCCTGCTCCCCAGGGCTGTGTTTCACAGCTACCCAGTATAGAGGTGTGACACTTAAATAACAAATTTTTGATTAGAAAGAACAGGAGCAAGCTTCTCAGCCTGACTGTTCGCATTTCTTTTGTTTCTTCTTCATTTTCTTTTATTTTCTGTTTATCATCTGTCTTGTCTTTAATCAGATGGGTATACGCATAAATCATAGGATACAGTTTGGCACTAAATGGCCTCTGAAAGGATCATAGCTACGCCTTCAAACTGATTCATATCTAAAGCGCCCCCAAAAAGTTGCCAGTGTGCTCCACCCTGAATTCTAAAATAGAGGCACTCCTTGGAAAAGGGGAATCTCTTTCACTGCCTAGTCATTTCAGTCTGAGGAGAGACAGCCCCCAGTGGACCACAAGCCAGGAACTGTATGCAGCACATTAAGAAAATCCTCCAAAATGCAAACCAAAAAAAAAAAATATTTTTTCATCATCAGAAAGAAGGAATTAGATGGGGAAAAATGGATCTTCCTCTCTCAGCCTCAGAATGTCAGTTGAAGCTCGGAAGTACTCTTTTATTACACAGATAATTCAAAGCAAGAAATCTCCTGTCAGGATAAGGACAGCCGCTGGGCTGAACAGGGCAACAAGTTCGGGTCACCTCCACGGCCTTGCTGCTCCACAGGTGAATGTGGCCTGAAATAAAGGTATAAATTATCAGCATGGCGCATGGGACTTAGCCTTCCAATGCCCCTCCATTAACCTTCCACCCTCCTCCTGCCTGCAATCACCCTGTGGAAAAAAAGGTCCCCGTGTGACCTGGCAGAAGGTAACACAAATGTTTCACTGACTTTCGAATTAAGAAAGGTAAAAAAAAAAAAAAAAAAAAAAAAAAAATCCTAACTGTGGCATATAAAAGACACAGC